CAAGAGAAATGCAGTCTGCCTACAGCCTGGTGGTCTTTAGTGGTCATGTCAGGCCATCCCACCTTAAGAGACATATGCATGTGTAGCTAACAGCTGCAGAACTTTTGGTTCTCCTTGTGTTTAGCAAGTTCTCCCCACTGCTATTGTGGCTTCCAAAATGGAGCTTCCCACAACTGGAGTCTTGAAGCCTCCTGTCCTTCAGCTACTTGCAGTTTTTCAGTGTCCTGACTAGCACTTTAAAGTTCTACATATTGTGATCTTTCCCAATATCTAAAATAAAATCAATTTCCTGTTTCAGTATTAGATGAGCTCTCTTTTCAAATGAGTTTGCTCGAGTGAACTGAGTGAGTTTGAAGCTGTGGAAGCAACCACCTTTTTCTCTCTACTGAGTTCCTTCAGACACCAGATCTAAAGAACATGGGGACTTGCAGCAGCCTGCACACCCTTTCCTATTGTGTAACTGCTATTGAACTGCTGCCATGTTTCAGCTGAAGAACATGTCCATCCTATTTTGGCTTTTGACTGCTCTTAGAGCACTCTTCTTTGTGCTGAAAGACAAAAAAAAAAAAAAAAAAAAAAAAAAAAAGAAAGAAAGAAAACACTTTATAATTAGTGATTAGAATAATTTCCAGAGTTGCTTTACACTTGTTTGGCTATGCACAAATACTACTCTTCCAGATATTGGTTGAACAGTTGCTGCCCCACAATTTCCTGTAGAACACTTTAAAAAAGCACAGAAGCCTTCCACTCTTTCCTATTTTTCCAAGCTCACAATGTATTCTTGGCATTATCATTAAGATACTTGGAAACAGTAACACGATATACAAGTACTTACCTGTTCTTCCCAGCTGAACTCATCCTCTCACCTTTCCCCTTGCAGCTCCAGAAACTTTTTGGCAAATAGCTCCATAGGAAACAATTAAAATAAACCAACCTTCATCACAGCTTCTTCATCCACTATCATCTGAGCAGTAACTTTAATTTGAAAGAGTTTTACATTCTTCCCCCACAGGCTTTGAAATAAGCAGTTGGTCAGTAACACTTCCACTCCTTCCCCCAAAGGGACTTACAGCCAGAATAATTAAGAGGATCTTAAAACAAAATTTATGTGCCAAGATGAGCATAGATGGTATCACTTTTAGAAACCATATTCCACTTTGTTTCAGTGCACATGTAAACCTTTGTGTCCAGTTAATTTGTATACCAGGAATGACATTATGCCTGACCATGATTTCCAAGAACCCCAACAGTTCTCTGTGCTGTACTGACATGGATGTGACAGTGACAGTAGACCTAGACCACCACACACCCCAAAACTTATGACATGATGTATTAGTACACTTCATCTTGAAATCTTATGCAGCCTAGCTTTGTATACTACCCAGTGAGTACTCAATTTAAGCATCCAAATGCTTGGTTTCTTTCAGAGCACACTTGTCAGAATGAGCACTGAGACATGAAGACAGGTTTCTATGTATGAACTTGGATTAAACTTAGACTGTGCATTTTCTTCTTTGAGCAAAGTCATCACACATTCCTGCTTAACTTCCTCATCTCTCCTTCAGGATCTCCCAGCTGATTCTCCAGGTCAGGAAACAGGGTGGTTGCTTACCAGAGTTCACAGTGCTCAAAATCACTTCAGTAACAAAGACAACCCATAGGTATTGCAGGGCAGGATGTCAGCACAGTAAAGAACACCCAAACCTCTCAGCTGCATAGGCTGAGGAGCACACAGACACTGGAGCAGGTGATCATTACCAGCGTTAAAGCAGAGCATACTGATGTTTAGGAAATGCCACAGGTGGGTTTTCAGTTCTGCTGTCACCTTCTATCTTTTCCTATGGGATGCAGCCACACCACCTACTTCTGCAACAGGACTGTAAGCTTCTTACAGACATTGCAATTGAGGCCTGTTGGGTCAGGATAGATTTGGACATTGGCACTTTCAGGTGAACACATTATCCAAGTCTGAGACACATAACACAGGTTTCATCATTAACATCTCTGACAAGCTGTGACCAACAAGTAATACATACACCGGCAAGTATCAAATCCTCCAAAACAGACCAAAGTGAACAACACACACAGAGAAAACTTGTTTTACTTCTCTCTTGCATCAGCTGTTCATTGGGTAGTTTCTGAAGTCATTTCCTTTTTCCTACCTTAGTTGAGACATCAGTGGCACCTACATCTACAGATAAGGAAATAAGAAACAAATAACAAAATACAATTATCTGTAAAGTGGGGTGCACAGCATCCTCCTCAGAGCAGCAGCACTGACTGCAGGGGGATGGGGAGGGAGTGAAGGGAACCACTGCAGGTAAAACCAACTGTTTCTAAAGCAGTTTAACAAAGCATCCTGTCATTCAGCCAGCAGACCATCCTGGATGAGGATTTCACATGCACTTTTTCTGACAATTATAGAAAAGATAACCAAGCTTGCTCCAACCATTCCACTGCATTATTTACCATCGTTACCAGGTATCAGCTGCAGAGATAAAAGCATAGGCCTAAAGTCTACAGTGGGCAACAGCTGTGGCAGAAGTCATTGAAGTGCCAGTGCCCTTTATTTCACCCACAGTTCACCTAATTGAAAGGTATCTGCATAGAGGAGAAACAGAATAAGGAAAGAAAAAGGGCTGTACTTTTAATTCAGAATTCTCCAGATATATGAACTATTGATGCTACAAATTTTATTAAAAGAGCATTACACCCCCACCACTCCTTTTCTTCAGTGAGGAGTGTGATAAAACTGGAGAACCTGCCTGTGACGAGAAGCACTCTTAGAACACTGGACTTTTTGCAGGATGGCATGCAACTGGTTCAGCTTCCTTAACTAGAGGGAGCTGCACCTAAAGTGATAAAAGCATAGCATACATTGCTGTAGTACCAGCAAATCTTGAAAGGCCGCAATGTTCAGGTGAAGTATCTGCACCACAGAACATCTTACAACATCCTTCCTCCAGCACTCGTGTACCCTGTGGCAAACACACCACCTGTGTAGTTACTGGGCAGCAATACCCTGGGCAAATGCCTTGTACTTACCTCCAGGAGGAGCCAAAGGATGAAATAAACCCTTGTGACTACATTTTACCTGAGCTGTACCACCACTCGACTTTAGCCAAGACTTCAAGCAGGCCTACAAAACTCCTCAGGACTCTTTCCAATTAAGTATCTTCTTGGCATAATGAAGTGCTTTATTTCACAGGAATCAGCTGTAACTAGAAGTGATATTATTTTACAAGCCATGCAACACTTTGACCATCTTCCCTTTCAGTTTTGAGCACAGGCCTTCCACACATGGTTTCAGGGAACTCCAGTCCCCTTAAGGCTCAGAGAGCTTTGATTACTCTCTCATTTGGTGAACACGTATTTCCCATTCCCCAGCACAAAAGACTAGCACAAGCAAGGATAATGTTCACTACAAGAAAGTCTAAAAGCATTGCTCAAAATTCCAGCCTACCTTCTGCATGCCAGCCGGAGGGCTGAAACTAAGACAGCACCTAGTCAGCTGGCAATGTGAGCAAGCACAGACAAAACAGTGGGGAAACAAGTCAGCTTGGCTGCTCCCATACCATGCTGAGACGTCTTACACCACCTCATCTGCCCTCTCAGCTTTTTTAAACTTGATTTATGTGTCTATGGACATAGAATTATACATTTGGATTGGAAGCAACCTCAAAGACCATCTGGTTGCAACCCTCTCCTGCCATGGGCAGGGACACCTTCCAGTAGAACAGGCTGCCCAGTGCCCCATCCAGCCTGGCCTTGAGCACTTCCAGGGACAGGGTATCACAGCTTCTCCGGGCAACCTGTGATGGTGCCTCACCACCCTCACAGTAAAGAATTTCTGCCTCATAGCTAATCTCAATCTACCCTCTTCCAGACATACTAAGGACTTAAAAAGGAAGCAAAGCTCCTCCTGCTGGTCACACCAAGCCGTATGTCTCTGGCAACCAGGCACCATTAGTGCAATTATCAGGCATCGGACAGAGCCAGAACCCTTAACAAACCCCCTCAAACCAGGGAAGCGCAGGCTGTCACCTGCCGCGTGACAAGGGCACGTTCCAATCTGCTCCCTGCGGACAGCCGCCCCAAGGCCAGCCCTGCTCTTTAACCCAGTCCGTGCTCGGTCCAAGGCCAAGCACCGTGGCCGGTACAGCCCCGCCCGGGCCCCTCTCCCCGGAAGGCGGAGAGCACAGCCCCAAGCGGCACCGTGCCCGCCGCGGCTCCTGCGCTACAGCGCGGCCTCCCCGTTCGCGCCCGCACGCCCCGGCAGCCATGACCGGCCGCCGCTTCACCGCCACGCCGCCGCTCCTGCACGCACCCACCGCAGCCCCCTCCGAGCCCCGGGACAGACTCCCACCCCACGGCCCCGCCCCGCTCCCAGCACAGAGAGGCGCTTCCTCAGCCAGAGCCGGCAGTCACCGAGTGAAAATCGGCTGTGTCCTTCAGGGCATCGCACCCCTCCCCGCCGCGCCCCGCCGGCTATTCTTCAGCCTCCCCCTTTTTTGTCAGCCGCTCACACGAGCTCTTCCTTCCCCCTTAAACCAAGACAGGACTCCCAACCTTCCCCCTTTTCCGACATCTTAACCCGGCTACCCGACCGCTCCTCCAGAGCTAAGCGTCTCACGCCATCAACATGGCGGCGGCCACCGCCTCCTTCCCTACCCCGCTTCCCAAAGCGGCCGCGCGGCGCGGGATCTGCCGGGAAATGGAGTCCACTCCTTGCACGCTGCAGCGCTGCGACTGCCGTAAAAAACTACAAACCCCAGAAGCCCCGCTGCCAAGAGGCGCCAGCCAATGGCGAGGCGGCGGCGCGGGCAGTGGCCCCGCCCCGGCGGGCGAGAGGGGTGATGTCATTGCCCAGCGGGGGCCGCGGGGGCGCGCCGCGCGCCGCCGCTCATTGTGCTCGACCGGTGCCGCGTCCGCGTCCGGGGTCGGCGGGGGGGCCGCGCTCCCGCTGCTGCTGCGCTGCCTGCGGCGGGCGGCCCCGCTCGCATCCCGCACACCGCTGCCTTGCGCCCAGCCCTGCGGCTCCTGTCCCGGGCGTCCTGGCCCCAGGGCGGCTCGGCAGCGTTCCGGACGGCTGCGCTGCGCTGCACGGGCGGTGGGGACCGAACACGCATCCCCAAGCGGGACTGCCTCTTGCGCCCAGCCCCGCTGCACCCATCCTGGGGAGCTGCCCTGCGTCGGGAGGGTGGCCAGCACCCATCCCAGTGGAAGTGGGCTGCGTCCCGCTCATCTCCGGGGTGCGCAGCTCGCCCGGCGTGCGGAGGCTGCAGCGCCCAGCCCCGCTGTGCCCGGCGTGCGGCGGCGGCCCGGGGCTGCCGCTTCTTCCCAGCGCCGCCGACCGGCTCCTGGCTCCCGCCTCGTTTTATGGTCGTGGAGAGGGAGGACAAATCCCAAACCAGGTGAGTTCTGCGCTGCTCTTCTCTTTTTGCGTGCTTTTCCTTGTCCTGTTACGTCCTCCCTCCCAGGCCCCCATCTCCCGATGCCCTTCCCCGCACTGTGTGCTCCTCAGCGGGCGCAGCGCTGCCGGGCGGGACCGCGCCGTCGTTCCCTGGTCCTGCTGAAAAAGGAGGGGCGGAGGGACGGGGAAGGGAGAGAAAAAACCCGCTACATGGTGTCATCCCATGGGAGGGAGATGAGTCCCTCTCGCCGCTCTTCGGGCCCGGGGCTGCGCGTCCCGCAGCCCCCGGGAAAGTCCCGCAACTCCGGGATGCTCCGGGCGCCCCGGCGCTGCGCGGTGCCGAGCCGCGGGGAGCCCGGGCTCGTTTGTCTCTCTCGCTGGGTAAGAGTGGAAAATAAGATGGATTTGGAATTGGTGTCGTTAAGCGCTGCGGAGCCTGAGAGAGCCGGGCTCCTGAGGACAGGATAAATCCGAGGTGTGCTTTAGGGTGGTTTTTGGGGGCGTTGGTGTGCTGTCGTGCGGCTTCCTTGCTTTGACACCGCTATTCCTCCCCTCTTTCAGGGAAACGGGGGAGATTTGAATCAAGCTGGCTCTCAGTCCTGGCTGTGTGCAGTTGGTCCAGGTTTCTTTTCCAAGTCACATAATGAGTTAGTATCTTAAAAATTCTCGGTTGGACAGTCTGATGTTTTATTTCAACTTCCATACTACTCTTCTGATCTTTTTCAGTTTCATCGTAAATACAAGTAGTGCCTCTATTTTAAACTTTGTAGAAACTTTGTGGTCCAGCAGAGCTTCGTTTTAGTGTGGCTTTTTATTTGTTTCCCCGTACCTTGCTGTTTGTGAGATGCAATTTGGATCTTTACTTGAACAGTGTTAAGATATTAGTACAATATAAGAGATTTTTTTCCTGTTATTATGTGACATCAGAAGGTTTTATCCCCTTCTATAACTGAATAACTTCTGCAATTGCTAGTGGACCCCAGACACCTCATTTTCTGCTGGCGCAATGAAATGTGCGCACACAGAGGGGTCCTGCTCCCTTCAAGTCTCTCAGTCTCTTTCAGCCTTTAAAGTTAATCTTCAGCAAAGCCCCCTTGGAGGCTGTTCTGAGAGCAGCAGGAGAGTGTGCAGCTGAGCTGATATTTTCAATTTTTTTCCTCCCCTCTGCTGCATATTTGCTTCTGCGCTTCTCTTGTGTAACTGGCACTGTGTGTCCTCTGGCAGGGCTTTCCCTGGAATTGCAGTGCTGGGGAGAGGGTGACATGAGTGCAGTGGGGACAATGAAACTCCCTGTTTGGTTTGCTCAAAGTGTTTGTAAACACCCAGGCGGTGTTGGGGTGTCCCTGTGCAAGGGATGGTGCTTTACAGCTGCCCCTCTTCCAGTGGGATAAACATGCTGCATCCACACCTCCTTGCCTTTATTTTAACTGTGTTTTTTCCTTCCTTCCTCTTTGCTACTGACTCAAAGGGGAAGAACAACAGTGCATGCAGGCGTTGCCTTTGCTTGGTCTTTTTTTAACATTTTTGTTTCCTGGAATGGCGTTTTCCTCTTTATTTTACAAGGGAGGGAGCAGATAATGTAATAGTGTGTTTCCCATCTTGGCTGTAAAAGGAGAAGTTTTATAGCAGTGATTTTGTTAGATTGGGATAGAAGGCATTGGATATGAAGTGATAATTTGAAAGTGTAGCCTGGGAATTGTTCTGGGAAATACTAATACAGAAGTTGGTGAGAACAGGCAAAGAATCCATGGCCAGTGATTTTTCATTTAAATAATACAATTTTTGTGATGCATATTTTTAATTTCTGTTTTCAACTTTCTATATGTATATATCTTGAACAAAACAAGCATAAATAGCAAAACATATTTGTATGTTTTTCAAAATTTATTGCATTTTTTGGATTTAGAAAGACTTGTTACAAGGTATGTGTTAGCATTTTCAAGCTATATTATACTATATCAGAAGGTGGATTAAAATGTACCTCAGAAATATACATTATTGTATCAATCAGCTTACATTTTACCTTTCAGAAACTGAAACACAGACATATAGAAAGGGACAAAAAGCTGAAAATCACTCAATTGCTAAGAAAAAACCCAGAGCTAGGGGACCCTTCCTCTTGTCCCACAAAGACCTAAATGCAGTGTATGTGTTTACTCTGAATCAAGAATTCTCCAAAATGCCAGTTGCTGGAAGCAAAGAAAATATCCCAGGAAGGTAGTACTAAGCATTTCCTCAGGTCTTTTACTTTTGCCCCTCCCCATTTCTTAGTCAGGTCGAGTTTCTGAAGGGAAATTTAGGATTAGGTGCTCTCATGGTCATACTCTGCAGAGTTTTCTTGTATTTTAGTCCTGTTCCTCATGAAATTGAGTATGATGCCAATTATTGGCTTCCTAGTGAAGCCAGAAATCACATCCTTGTAAATGGGTTTTATGAGCATCACCTGTGTGCCCTGGACAGTGTTAAATTGCCTGTCCCAGAAGTGTTGCTGCCCTGGGATGCTTGGATGTCACGCAGCCTCATGTACAGGGATACCCAAAGACTGGTGAGATGAGGGGAACTGGGAAGAGCCAGAGCTGGGCCAGCTTTGCTGACTCTTCAGCTTAACTTTGCTCCAGAGATGAGCTAGGAGAGGACAGGGATTTCTGCAGCCTGGAGCTGGAACCTGCTGAGACAGCTGAAGTTCCTGAAGCCCCAGGTGGATGGCTGGAGGTGGCTCTTTGGGGAGGAGCTGTGGAGTCGCTTCCCAAGCAGGCAGGGGCAGAAAGGTGTCTGCAGGCAAACACCCCCCATTTGTCACTCTGCTGTGAAAGAGCTTTTCTCTGTTGGCTGCTCTGGGCTGTGTGCTCCCCATCTTCCCAGACCCAGCTGCAGGTGGTGGGTGTTGCTCACAGCCTGAGCTGAGTGTGGTGGCTCTCTAATGCAAGCTGTAGAGAGCTTGTGTTTCCAGCTCTGGAGCTGCCCTGGTTTGGGTCCTTGCTGGGAGAGCCAAGCTGGCATCCATCAGCTGGCAAATAGAGACACTTGCTCTGAGTTTTGTGGTGTGTTTGCAGCTGGGCTTTTTGTGGGAGGCACAGGTTTGTTGGCATTTTCTTATTTTTACATAAAATGTAGCCAAACGAGGAATTATAATAGCTGAGATCTAGATAGATTCCATTTCTTATTTTAAGGCTTATTGCCTTTTTTTAAGGACAGGACCAGCAGTTTGAGTGCAAGCCTTGCTTTCTGTGAGTACAGAAGGAGGAGTGGGGAATGTGCTAGGTGCTAGTTTGTGCATATACAAATATGCACATATTTGTCTAATAACCACCCAGGCATTGAGAAAATTAGAGAGATTCATTGCAACTGTGGCTGGCATGGCAGGAGTGCAGAAAGTAGCACAAGATGGGCATACCTTGCAGTGATGAAGCTCTTTAGATACTGATGCTCATGTGGATGTTTGCAAAACTTTGAAACAGGACATTTAGGAGACAGTAAAATAACTTCCTATATTACAGATGGGTTTCTGACACCAAAAACATCAGCCCAGTTGGAGAGGTCTTGGGGCAGTTGAGAAGGTCTTGAGGCAGAGATGCTCAGCAACAGCTCTGCTTTGGCTGGAGGGCAGATGAGATGACCTGAGGCAGTGTTTTGATTGACTTCCTAGTTTCCACAATTTCATTTTGCAGCAAGTCATTTAGCTTCCTGCTCCCTCCCAGTGCTTCTGTCAATAACTAACTAAATTCTCATTTTATTTTTAATGGCTCTCTTACAGTGGGAAAGAAGTGGTCTGTCATGTTTGTCATATAATCCTGGTTGGCCTGTGCAAAAATCATGAATTTAAAGAGGGGGGAGGGAAGGGGTTGAGTCAAGTACTCCTCAGGTGCTAATATGTTGAAATAATTAGGGCAGAACAAGGATAAAACTTGTCCCTTAAAATCATTGTCAGCTTTTAAACAGTCAAGACCACACTGGTCTGTTGCTGTTGCAGTAGTTTCATAACTAATCTGTGCTATTAAACATTGGCCCTGCATAAGGTATTAGTGAGATTTGTGTTGTAATGTCATTTGATTTCACCTTGCATAGATAAAAATAATTAGAGAGCTTTGTTGCTTTGAGCTGAGGAGAGATATTTAGGTTGTGAACAGCTTGAGATTCACTTGCTATTTGTCATATCACCTCTCCTGGAGTTACTGCTTTCACTACACTGCAGAGGTGCACTGTTCCCTAATATACTTAAGGCAAAATTTAAACCTCTTTAAAACCTATTTAACCTAGCTATTAGTTTCCTGAGATAATTAGGGAATACTTGTACAAACAGAGGAGGAAACCTTCAGTAAGGTCTCGCAGAAATCTGCTGCTGTCCTTTTAAACATCACAGGATACCCTGTTTATTTTCTTTCCTTTTAGCAGAAATACTCTCTTTTGAGTACAGCTGAACTAAAAAGTTAACTGTAACCTTTAAGTATCTAAATAGTGTTTTCTTTTAGACCTTGAAAAGAGTAATGAGAAAAGGAAAGAGAGAAGAGGAAAGGCTCTGCTGGCATGAAAAAAGATGAGCTTGTGCATGGTTTCTTAAAAGACTGTATCCTGCAGGCTGAATTTAAAAGGGGAGGAAAAAAAAAAGAGGTGTTAGAGATGCCAAAGTACAGAAGTCAAGCAGTGCTTGGGTTACTGTGTCCTGCTAAGGATGCCCTCCATAGAGAGAGGGACTTCACGCAGGGCCCCAGCAGCCCAACCCACTGCTGCACTGTGCTGCTTCTCCTCTGCAATGAAGGCTCCAAAATCTCAACTCTGCTTTTTTTGATTAAGCAAAAACTCAGTTTCTCAAAGGGCAGCATGTGTGCATTTAAAGTGGGTGTATTTCTTGATATAAATCCAGGCTGTTGTTTGTAAAAGAGAATTGTCATGGAACTACCATCCCGTAGGCTGGTGCTGAGCCCTGGTGCCAATAATTTTGGAACAGTGCAGAAAATGAATCTGACTGCGTGTGAGAGTCTCGCATCCCCCACAGGAACAATC